CGAAATGCACTCAAAACGGATGTGTGAGTTCAAGGAAACTTATTTTATGGTAAAACATCTTGATATATTTCAATGAACTGTTGGAAAATACAAAGTAATGATGCAGCTCAATTACCATATACATTTTAAGCAACATACAATTATACAATTACTCTGTTCATATATATCTCAAAAATGCATTACTGACTTTTATTCCTACTTTCCAATATTCGGTAGAAATATGGTGTATTTTATATTACTATCGTTAAATCACGTGACTGGTATCAACGCTTGCGGTCTACTACTTTCTTCCTGATCATCATTTCTTAACAGCATACATTGTCTTAGTATATACTTTAGTCACAAATGATAATATCACGATCGGCATATTAATATGCATTCTCTTAACTGAAATTAACGTTAGTGGCCCCTAAATTTAAAACATATCCACTCATTTCTCTCTACATTAATTCATATATTTATTTTCTCTTGTAGACGTCCATACGGTTCAGGTGAACGTAGTATGATATCGTATAATGATTTGGATGACCCAGGAATTGATGTTTAAAATTTCATCGATCTGTTGATTATATTTTTGATCCGTTTGTTTTTTCCTTATGGTAACATAACGAATTATGTATATCTAACGTACAAAGGCGCATGCATTTCAACCTGATTTTTCTTGCTCTAATATATAATGAAGAAAACATGTTTACAAGTACGAGTTTTTAAAAAGCTTGTGGACAGAATAGGTTTCTCAGTGCTTGTAATTTGTACGCTTTCGTTATTCTCAATGTAGAAAGTCTGATGGAATAACCTAAGTCTTTCGTAAAGTACTGAAGTCGTACAGGACTGTGTAAACCGAAATTCAGTAAACATGACTAGTAAGCAAAAAATGATAACTTAAGATGGTATATATTGTGTTCCCGAAAATAACTGATGTTAAACCCTTGACAGTATTATGTAGGCTGATTAACCGTATCACTTCAAAAAAGTGTCTGTTACTCGAGCTAATCACTAATGCATAGAACTATAATTTGCAAAAGATACATTACCACCGAGTGGTGGCAAATAAGATGTTGACTGTTAATTTTGACATAAAAAAACAACAAAATTAATAGTCGACAGCAGGACTTCACCTGAAGTAGCTTGGCACAACATACAGTTAACTGTAGACACAGCCGTAAAAGCTGTTAATAACCTAAAACCAAAAGTTAGCAAGAGCTATTGGATCTCTACCGCCTCATCCGAAATGATTGACTGATTCCGGTGAGCTCTGAATATGATGAGAAGCGAAAGCTATTTAAGCGCAAACTAACCAGAAGCCTTCGTAACGACCGTGAAAAGTAATGGTGACAAAAGCGAAAGAGATGGAAAAGGCTTCGGCGATTGGTAACACCAGACAACTATTTAGACTTATCAGGGAAACAGGTGGTAAAGTGCAAACGGTAAGTGAAACAGTCTCTGAGAAAAATGGGACTATCATTAGCTCCCAGGATAGACGACTAGAACGTTGGAAAGAACACTTTTAGGAGCAGTTCAATTGGCCTACAGCCACGCTCAAATTACCAAACATCCCACACCTCCCTGAATGGGATATAGACACAGGTCCTCCGTCCCTAAATGAGATTACTAAAGCTGTCACTAGTCTGAAACGAAGCAAAGCTGCAGGACCTGATGGAATGACTCCAGAGGTATTTAAGAACGATGAAGACAGTTTACTGTCTGCGGTAACTAAGGTACTAGGCAGCGTCTTGGAATCAGAGGAAGTCCCGTCGGGTTGGTTTAAGTAATTGATTATCCCGATATACTAGAAGGGAGACAAGTGCTCTTGTGATAATCACAGGGGGATTAGGTTGACTAATATGATATCTAAAGTTCTAGGCTCGGGAGGCACAAGCACAAGAGAACCAGGCAGGCTTTAGACCAGGAAGAGGGTGAATTGATCATATCTTCACCTTTCGACAGATTCTGGAGCACAGACATACTTACCGGCGTCCAACAATTGTTATGTTTCTTGACCTAAAGGCGGCATTCGATTCTGTCGACCGAGAGGTACTCTGTCGATGGTTGGCTGTAAAAGGAATGCCGAGAAAATACATTTCATTGATCAAGGAACTCTACTCGAACTCATGCAGCCAGGTAATAGTTTACGGTGAGTTGTCATCTGAAGTAGTGACAACTAGTGGTGTCCGTCAAGGATGCCCACTGTCCCCATTTCTATTCAATTTCATCATAGATGTACTGATGGACGTAACCCTCACTGCTGACTTCAGCGACTTAGGGATTGACTTGTTACCATCAGGGAATGATCTCGTTGACTTAGAATATACAGATGATATAGTCCTTCTAGGTGAAGACACTGAGAAAATGCAGAGTCTTCTGAACGCCTTGAGTTGCAGTCTGCTAATGTTTGGCATGCGATTGGCTCCCGCCAAATGTAAGATGGTGCTACAGGATTGGATTACACTGACTCCTAGCTTAGAAATAGGGAGTGAAGTGGTAGAGTGCGTTGGCCACTTCACTGATTTAGGAAGTTGCATCAGCCCCAACGGTCTGATCGATGACGAAATCTCATCACGGATACAGAGGGCTTGTTTAGCATATGCCAGTTTACGCCGTCTCTGGCGTAGACGTAGTATCCGACTATCGACCAAAGGACGTGTGTACTGCTCAGCAGTCCGCTCCGTCCTGCTTTATGGCTGTGAGACCTGGCCACTGAGAGTGGAAGTCATGACAAGACTAGCTGTCTTTGATTATTGGTGCCTGCGTTCTATCTCCCATGCTTAATGGTATAATAGGGCGGGCCATATTGAGGTTAGGCATCGAGTGCTAGGTAAGGAGGGGAGATCAATCGACGAGGCTGTGAAGCTACATCGTTTGAGATGGTTAGGACATGTGTTACGTATGCCTAGCCATCGTCTTCATCGAAGATGTAGACTTCCTGGTTGGGGTCCTCGGGACGGTAAAAACCAATGGCTGCAAACAATCGGTGATCTGGCTGAAAATCGTTGTCAATGGCGCAGATGCATCCAGTCCTTGTGACTTATAATTTCCAATTAAGCTATACTGTTCTTCCTTTGTCTCAAATCCCTGTCTACTGTCTTGCATTTCATCTCTTACTTTGTGTGCCACATGGAGTGTGGTGGCTCGAATTGCTGCACATCAGTGCAAAGTTCTATGTTGAAAACAGACAGACAGAATTTTCTCATACTCGAGCAATTGATCTTCAATAATGTACATTGGCTAATCGACATCTGTTTCGAAATGTTCAAAAAGTTAGTAAGATAATTGAAAAGTGTTGGATGACTAAACTTTTAAGTGTAGCCGAATTTACCTACGCCTATATGTTATCATTGGCTTTATGTAAACAAAACGCTAACCAGGTAAAACTGGATGCAACATGTAGCGGCGTACTTCTATGTGAACTTGTGAAACATGGCAGTTAGAGGCCTATCAGAATGTTAATAAAAATCCTTTGCAGCTATATGTGCTTATTTTGGAAGCATAGTGACTCGGCGTTTGACTATGATTCCGGAGAAAGTTTCAACAATTAAGCCACCATATAATACACGCAGTCAAACTAGAGGTAATCTGAATAGCCAGGTGATATTGTTGCCTAATTCGACGGTTACTAATGCGGGCTCGAATTTCACAGGAGGTATGTGTTTTCTTTTTTGAAGGCAGTACATCATCTCTACGATTAATGCCACTACATAAGAGACGTAAATTCTGCAAAATCTGAATAACACTGAGACAAAGCTTACAGCTATGGCGTGTAACTTAGACTGCTGACTACAATATGCATTTAGTTGATAGATTCAGGTTTATAGGATTGCGGTCAGTCAACAAAGTTACCAGCAGGCGCCCAATTCATCGAATACTTTGACTGTTATTCAACTTTTGATTTGAACAATGGATAATGGAAGTGCCTGAGTCAATGAATAGTGTATGGTATAGACTTTAAAAATACTGAATGAATAACACCCTTTATACACAACAAAACAATAATAATACATGAAGAAAAGCTATCATCATCAATGTCTGTATACGACACGTTGACTAATTCATTGAAATAAAAGTTTCAAAATACCTAAGAAAAACATAGTACTAAAAAAACAGACTGGAAAAATGAAGAAATTATTGTAAAGAACAAGGGTGAGGTTACGATGAAGACAGATATCACCAGTATGAACGGAGATTAAAAATTTCCTAAGCAATAAAAATAATCCAATTTTTTATTTCTACAGTACAGCACAACGCATGCATAACACACAAAGGAATGAGAAATTGCTAACTTTTATCTGAAAAACCCTGGATAGTTTTCAAGAAAACAGCCTAGATACATTTGTCTTAATTTTAAATACATATATCAAAAGTTTATATGAGAATTAATAATGATAATAATAGAAGTGATGATAATAATTATTACAACAATAATAAAAGACGAGTTAAATTTCACCTATCACACGTATCGGAATTGAAGAATAAAAAGTTTTTCACGAAATGCAGTTGTTCTTGATAGACAGAAAGTAAAGAGATCGATTGTTATACTTATATATGGTATAGTGATAATATTCACAGACAACACAAATAATAATAAATATAACAGTGACTTTTGTGCAGCTCAAAACATTTAAATCCAAGTACATGGGTAGATGCTGAAATAATTAAAGACCATTGCAATAGTAGGCCGCAAGTACACATGAAAAGCACATACACACACATAATAAGTACTAGCATTCAAAATTATAACACCTAGAGTATGTATGGGAGTATATACTGATAATATGATGCTGAAAAGACAAGACGAAGCTGCCAAGATCTTAGAAATATCTTTCCCAACACCTGAGCTGAGATAATTTTTTTTATCTGATGGAACCTACTATGACAATACGATACAGTCGTCCATGAAAGCAAGTAATAATAATGATCCTAAGAGGATATATACGTCTAAGGAAAGACAATAAATCGAAAGAAATTAATTAGTTAAAGTTTAAAAACAACTTAAATGGACCTAATTAGAAGTTGGCGTGTGAAGTTGTATTCGGTGCGTTCTGACGCGTTGCGAAAATTTTCTCGAAATCCTGTAACGAAAAAGACAACGCGAAATATGAATGACAATGTTTATTCTCATTAGAGATAACTTTCTTTTTCAGTGATTCTAAATAAAACTCAAATTTCTACGGTGTGCAGGTTTCATAGTATAGCTCTCAGTTGGTAGTAGAGCAATCAGTAGTACCAACTAGATTTCATAATCATACCTATTCTCCTACAATGAAACCCACATAGTCTTCTTCACGATTGCATAGCCACTGACTTGATTGAGTTCCCATGTTCTTATAATTAAAATAAGAACACTTCAGTAGCCAGTGGAAGTAATCATCTGTAACACGGTACACCAACACGAAGCCTTTTAAGTAAAATAAAAATTGTTAAGCAGAATCATTATGATAAAGTAGGACGTCAAAAAGTTAAACAATAAACAGTAGGACTGGGCATCCTTGAAGTAATGCACATTCTGTACACTAATACTAAACAATAGCCAAAGCAGAAACATATATATATATATATATATATATATATATATATATGATGAATAACCTACATCTGATAAAGACAAACGATTTGTCAGTGATGCATACTTCCATAAAATTAAATTGATAAAGTCTGTATATGGATCAACCAGTTGTATCGCTGACCAACCGTCTGTTTGTAGGACAAATTGATCAAGGAAATGATTTAACTTTTTTAAATCAACCTGAAGTGATGCACTGGAACGACAGTGTTCGGCAGGTGGAGATGTTCCTAATGGTGATCGGACATCAGAGTGTTTAGGAGATACACTCTGGAAATCTAGTTTCACAAATGCATAAGAAGTGAATAGAAAAAATAAAATACACTGATACATATATATATATATATATATGACTGGCTGTTCAAAGTCACTGTGGCTTTGGCTGTGATAGTCTAACTTCTTTCCTAGAAGGTTCTTGTTTCCAAGCAAGCATGGATTGAGGATGCATTGTAATAATGAGTTCTGACAAATACGAAACCTCGATAATACACAGAACTCTACGACGATGAATTACAAATGCCGATGTCGTAGAACTGTGTAAATCTAACAACAGACCATTAGCAGTGGGCTCTAATTTATCTTGTATTCCATGTTCTTAGCCCAACGGTATCACTATATTTCAATGAAATCACATTCACTTGGAAACTCATATATATGTAACCCTCTTTGAGATGTAAGGCTTCATTAAGAAAAGCATCCTGAAAAACTGACTCGTATAACCCGTAATACTAAAGGAAACTTCATCACAATATTATGTAGTAGTCATAAAGCAAAAATAATCGATAGATTTCAGTCAGCAATGAAGACTAATGAGTAGCTTAGTTTATTACATACTGACCAGTTTAAATAGAAAGCTTCTAAATTATGAAGTGGTTAGGTAATGTGACAAATGTACACGTTCATCAAGATGAAGTGAATATATATAACTGGAGAAAATAATGAAATATCTTAAATTACTGTCTGTAGTTGACTTTGAGGAAAAGTGTTCACTTGCATCATCTTCAAACGGTTTCAACATAACCTGTTAATCGAACAAATATTTTGAAAGCGTGAATACTTGAATACAGAAACAAGTCAAGTATACAGAAAATTGAAATACACAAACAATTCTTCCTCACTTGTATGACCAACTACTCAAGAAGCAAAAGAAGACAAAGTCAACCACCATGTCTTACTATACAGGAGAATATGATATTAATAGAAACACACTGAAACCGCCGGTATTAAAGATAGTAGGATAGTGTTAAAGTGAAGTGGAAAACTGGAGACGTTAAATTTGACTTCAACTGAAGCACGTTTTCATTATATATATATATATGCTTCCATTGGATGAATTTCAAGAAAAGCAACTGTTGAGAAAGTATTTCAAGTCTGATGATAAACTAACTTCAGTTAGAGAATCACTGAAATCCAGGGAGTATTAAGCAGCTGTTTTGTCCTTGTTTGGGAACGCCTCAGCACTACTCAGTCATGATATCGTAGGGGATCAAACTTAGGGCCTTCAAGTTACAAGCCGAAGTGATTAACCATACAGCCACTACTAATGGTCCATCAATTCTAACCTCTGTGTACTAGTGAAGAGTCCCGAATAGGAAAAAAGCAACTGTTCAATACTCCCTGGTTTTTAATGGCTTTTATAACTGAAGTTAGTTAATGATCAAACTTGAAATTAATCAAATCCATGCAAAAGAACAGCTGAGGATATGAAGAAAGTAATATAGATTACCGAAACAATTCATACCAGCAAGGGAAGTCCTTTATTAAACATTAAAAGTTATTTTCTTCAACGTTTCAATATCTCGATTATGCGTAAAAACAACACATATTTTCAAGGAACTGATCACCTCTCTCAGTTAAGTGAATAAGGATGATTTGCAAATGGAAACCAATAATATAAAAGATACATACACCGATAGAGATAAAATAAATCCTGAGTACACACAGGAAGAAACATATGTTTGGTTGCACATGCACCTGCATATATTCATCATTCTATATTTTAGTGATGCTGTACACTGTGTCACCAATCCTTCTTCACCTATTCTGTGCAATCTCAAAATTATCTTTATAAGGGTCAGATCACCCAACAACCATGACTGAAATTAAGCATCATGCTGCTAAGTTACTCAAAATACATAGGATTATGAGTGGGCTAGTTTATCGATATATATATATATATATATTATACTTGAATAACTTCACATATCATTCACTTTCAGTCAACAATCGCTTGTATGAAAATGTAGGTGCCAATGTGCCACAGTTATTCTATGAAGGCTAATGGTACTACTTAGCTGACCAAAGATCGGCAGATGGGGGTGGAAAGTCAACCGAGTAAACCAATGAGCCACAGTTACATTTATGCACTGAAGTTTTGTTTTATTCCTTTTCTTATTTCGGTCTGTAGATCGTTTCAAAGGATGGCCACCTTAATTGGATTACCCACATGCAATGTTTTGTGTTGATCTCCCCACCTTATCTACTTAATTCACCAGTTGACTGAGTTCTTGTAATAAAATCTACACTAATGAATACTTTTTTACTAAATACACAAAGTAAGGTACTCCGAAGTACTGTTGTTACAGCAGACGATAAAAGAATTGGCAACCAACTTTTTAACAGAGGAAAAACACAAAATATTTATACATTTTGAACCACATTAAAAGTCGACTAGGTCAGCGGACAATAAACTGTTCTGATTGGTTGACGATTGGCTCAGGTTTAAACACTGAGATGAAAAGTTGTCCAATCAGATTTTTACCTGACCACAATGTAAACTAGATCTAGATTTGATAAAGAAGCCCCTCTACCTCTGCAACTATTGACCTAAAATGTTGGTTTCAATTTTTTACCTCTTTCTATCAATCTGCATCTTACGTATCTTGTCCGTAGCACACGCTACACTGTAAGCACTTTCTCACTGCAGCAAAACTACATAATAAAATAATTGTTTCTGTTTTATTATCAATAATAAGTTTTAAGATTCACTACTACTACTTTTGTCGATTATCACACTTAGACTCATTAATACTTCCAAGCATATTTCATTGCTGTAATTTTATCAATCACTCTATAACTTACATTTGAAGAAGAGTCTGGAGCGTCAAGATCAGTAGTAGAAGCAGCAGCATCATGTTGGGTTGTTTGCAAATCAGGTGAAATTTTTGGAGTACTTGAAGACAATTTACGACGAGGTCTACTGGATGACTGCAACTGAATTATATCATCAAGTTCCAAAACTGGCGATTCCCCCTTAGTTAAAAAAAAATAAAATATCAAGTTGTTAAGCATGATTAGAATTCGATTGAAATCAAAGTATTTCGATGTTGAAAGTTGACACATAAGATGCAGGAAATTACGGAAACTGTAAAGCTGTTTCTCTCCAATCAGTGATTTCAATACAGTTGAAAACCCAAGAACTCATAACCTCCAGATCTTGTGGCGCACATGTTACAAATCAAGTGTTAAGTAGAAAATAAAAGACAGATTCAGCGAAGAAAATTTTCTTTATCGACGAAATCATCTTCATAGGCTGTACAATCGTATTTATACTTACAAAAATATTTAGTGGTCTATTATTGAGTAATAGGGGGTGACATAATTGATATAATTACTCAGAAGTGGCTTTAGAAGTGAAAATTAGAAGTTGAAAATTACGTGGTACTCAACGGCAAAAAGATAGAAATTTGATAAGGTTAAAATCGCTATTAAGTGAGAATAAAGGTATTTGAGTGTCAATTTAACAAGTGTGAAGAGGGTGTGAAAATATACAAAAGGAGCATATGAGAGTAATAATAGTGAATTAATTATTAAAGCAAAAGCTAACTAAAAGTGAAATTAGAATGAAAAGAAAAAATCAAAAAAAAAACAAATTTTTTTTATTTACAAGGAACGATTAGTGAAGAGGTTAAGACCAAGGTAGAATAAGAGACTGGATAAACTTTTTCTGTACACAGAGTTCAGGGTTGTATTGATGAATTGCTAGAGCCTCCACCATGCACAAAAGCCGAAACCTGACGCGGCTTCACTTTGTAGATGATCTTGAAAGACGATTCTGGTGGAGCTACGTGGCCTGAGTTCACTAAATGCTCGAGAATTGAGCTAGTAATTGTCTTACATTGTCCCTTTGCTAACCATGCCGGATAATGCTCAGAGATGCGTTTGGGAAGCGTGCGCTTTGTGCGGCCAATATAACTAGCTCCACACGAGCAAGTGAATTTATAAACACACATTGAGGTGGCTCAAAGCGGCAGTTTATCCTTCACACACCCGTTGATCATTTGTCGGCTGTAGAAGTTGATACGTAGCTCAGCCATAAAGAAGTGTTAAGTTCTAAACTAGGAAGAAAAAAGGTTCTTTGACCGATTTCAGTTAGTTATGAAATTTGCCCTCACAATCAAATTAAAAAAACAATTACAAACACCTTGGATTTATGAGTATCATTCAAAAGAACAACATCGTCCCAAACCATCAATGTTTTCACCCATCACTCCTATAGAAGCTTGTATTATTTCCTTTGGTTGCTAGAGGAACATAGGACTTCAGTCGCACGTCTCCATTGCGTTCGGTTCGCTGCCAACGTTTTCACCCGGCTCCACATCTGCCCACATGCTTTCATCTCCTCTTCACATCACCTCCTCCATGTCACCATCGCACTGACGACCAACTAACCCGCCGCTTCCCACTCGGGTTCCACTCGAACGATGGCCTGGTGTGTGATGTCACTTGATGGTTTTTTCAGAGTATGGTCAATCCACCTCCATTTCTTCCTGCACATTTGTTGCACAATCGGTTCCTGCTGAGTTGGTTCGCTCCCAGAAATGCCTGTTGCTGATCTTTTCTGGCCATCTGATCTTACGTAGTAGCACCGAGAGGAAACACCTGTTGATGAAGTTCTGTGGTTTGTTCAGAGTGCACTTCGTCTCTAATCCGTATAGTAGCACTGACTTCACACTGGAGTGGAAAATCCAGATCATATTTCTCATACTGAGTGCTGTTGATCTCCACACAGACGTAAGAGTAATAAGAGCTTGCCTTGCTTTCCCGATCCTCACCATCTATCTTCATCAGTTTCGTCCACCTGTAGTCGAAACGATACTTACCGGGTATGTAAAGGAGGTTGCTACTTTCGTATTTCCACCATTTGTGCTGATTGTTGCCTGTTGTTGTTGCTGTTGCCATTGTCCAGGAATTTTCATCACCTCTGTTTTCAGTATGTTCACCTAAAGTCCTATCTTTAATGCTTATTCTACCAACTTGTTGCTTTTCACTTGCATATCTTCCAGTTTGTGAGAAATCAGACATATATCATCGGTGAAATTCAGATCCTCTAAGGTTTTTATGTGGGTCCATTTTTTGCCCATCTTTTCCTTTCCCACTGCCTGTCGTATTATCCAGTTTAGATAGTAGGCAGCCAGCTTGTCTTACCCACGTCTTCACTTCGAAGGATTCTGTCAGTTTCCCGTTGTGGATTAATTGGCATGCAGCATTATCGTACAACTGTTGGATGAGGTGTATACTCAATGTTCTCCTACACTATCTTAAAGATTAGTGAGTTAGTCTTGAAAGTGCTTTGATTTTGACACTTATTTCTGGTTTTAATTATAATCAGCTGAAGCAACGATTTTAATAACTACCCAAAAGTGAGATAAATTACGAAGGCGGAAAGTATAAGCCACAGTACGTATTCAAAGAGAAGTGGTAGTCAAGCACGGACATACTCTGTTGTCAACTGATGGCGATATGATCTACTTGAGAACAGGGTTGAGTGTTAGACTCAACAAGCTAGGTAGACAGTAAACAACAATGATGGTTACAATGAAAACGGATGACGGTTGTGCATATGTTAAGATCGTGCGAATTGTTTTCATAAGTTTTAAGTCATTTTATATGATATGCTTTCCCACTAACATCCAAAAAATAACCCTTTTTGAATTCACGAGGTGACAACATTTTGTTGTGTTATTCATAAAGATGTTTGTAAGCTACAGCATATTCAGTATTATTCATGGTAAAATTAAAAAGTCATGGAAAGAGAGGGATATGTCAAAAAGAATTAAATATGATCACAACAGGGTGGTGGTTATTCACTATGAACTGTGATCAAGATTTGACCGAATAGTTAGTGGTTAGGTCAATTACTTCATAAGATACATATTTCAGAACATTTGTATTACTATTGCTGAGAAATAATTAACACTGAAGAACTATAAAATGATCAGCACTAGTTGAATGACATTTGGTATTTATAGAAAGACAAATCTTTCTTTACTCATGAATAACTTCTAAACCGTTCATTTTAACTTCAAGTTGCTCTAAGAAGAAGTAGGTATTAGTCGACAAGAAAGTCAATGAGACAGTGTGTAAGGGTATCAAGAGAATATTACCTCCTGAATGAAAAAGTCAAAGGAGAACCATTGAACATCGGAGTAGCTTATGTTCGTATTATTCTGTTCAGCTTCAAACTGCCAGTTTTAATTTCATTATGGACGTGACTAACTGAATGGTTTCAATATAGAAATTTGCATAGAAGTGCAGCAGTCTAAGTCATCACACTCCATATAACACCCAAAGGAAGACAAAAGACACAAAAAAATTCGAAAGGACCATAATAAGCAGAGATATGACGAAGAAGGAACAGTAACACAGAAAAATAGGGTTTAATGGATATCGGGAACACAGATAATAAGTGTATCTGAGCCACTGAGGATGACGTCGAGCCATATCACCAAGTGTCTCCAGACTTCTGGTTCTTACCATCCCGAAGACCCCAGCCAGACAGTCTAAACCTCCCTACTTGGCACAAACTCACTATCAAAGATGTCATAGTCTGATTCTAAATTTTTTTGGTTTAACAATCACTGACTCTTTTGCAATGTTATTCCATGTTAGCTAACATTATCCATAGAGGAAGGTGATGACTGGGCACATGTAATACATGTCCTAGTCATCTCAATCGATGTAGCTTCACAACCTCATCGACTGACTTTTCCTACTTACCTGAAGATGTCATTATCGACGTAAATTAAGAAGTCTACAAGTGAGTGCGTTGAAATACATCAATGAAAGTGTAACAACAGAACATGGTAGTATATGGTAGTGGAACTGTTTGTCAGAGAATTGATGCACATTTATGCCGAAATACAGAAATCTTACATTGAAATCTCAATTTGCACAAGTTCTTTGTTTTGTGCTTCTTTCATCTGTCTTTCATAATTTTTATATTGTTTCACAAGGATCTCTCAATTATCTTCTTAACGATCTATCCGTCATCTCACTGTTCAACATCCTTAAATATGATGTAACACTTAATATAATACTTGCACAGCCTTGTCAGTAGTACACGCTACAAACACTAATCTAACTATCAGTTTCCATTCTTAAATTTTAGTAGGAACAAAAGGTAGTGCACAAATTTGTTCATGGGACATTAGGTGAAAAAGACATTGATTACAGTTAAGTTTTGATCTAATTTAATTGATTTTACTTACATGTAATCTTCGACTATAACGATCACCTTGTGGAAGAGGTAATGGTTGTTTTGTGATATTCTTTTGCAACTTCTCATTAGTTTTGGTGGGAGAATGAGGTTCTGTTTCTTTGTTTTTCTGGTTGCTTAGTGATGACATACGTGCTGCACGTGCAAGATTAGCCTGATATTTTAGAGTAAATACACGCGAGTTTAAAACAATGCATTTGAAATACATGATAAGTGAATTTTACTCACAATAATATTTACAAATGAAAACAAAACAAGAATAATAACCTATGAAACAAAGTATACTCTTTTTACTCAATAGGGAGCCTAGTGGATAATAACCGATCTTTCGAAACAGTGAACACTAGACTATTGGTGCTAGTGGGAATACTATCACTCACTGTATAATTTATCACAGTTTGACCAGTTTGACCAAATGTCTAAATGCAGTTTGATCATCAACGTTGAAAATTTGTAAATATAGGCTGTCTGATTCTCAACGTTTACAGATGAAAATGCTATCTCAACTATCACAAGATTTTTCTTTTCCAAACGGAATGACTGACTGATTTTCAATGACCGTGTTACACAGCCATAGGGGAGGACAGAGTGAACTGCTCTGCTGAATCTCTTTGCTTAACAGTGAATGTATCAATTGTAAATGTCGGTGAAAACCTGTACTCCAGCAATGCCGTCAAGTGTTCTGACTGATGTTTGGGATGGAAAAATCTCTCTTGTCAACCATCCATCTTCTTTCTTGTTTTGTGTGTCGGTGGTCATTTTTTTATAGTGACTGGCATTGAAATTAGTTTAGTTTTCGTTAAGAGTCTACTAGGTGGTATTATCGATGGTGTCAATTTAAACGAAAATTAAGATCACAATTTGTATCTAACAAATGAAGACTGAAGATAAAATAAGAAATTGAAGCCCGAGTACGTCAGACACTCTTAATGACCAATAACCAATTTCCCTCCCTTTTTTAAATTTAGTACAACTACAACTGAAGTCAGAATGTCTAAATGGACTCGTAGGTACCACTCATGTATCTAACCTAGCCTGCGAAAGATATCCTCATTGTGTCCTCCCTATATACAAAGAAACAAATATTATCATGATGGAATATTCTATGAGTAGAAGATGAAAAAATAATAAAGGAAGAAGAAATAATAACAGGAATAGGTTTTTTTTTACTAAACCCAATTCCAAGTCATGCCATTTGGAGCTCATTACATGGGTCAAACCAACACTTAGTCATTTCACTTTTCTTCGGAAGTATGTGTGCTTTAATCACTCGTTTCATTTTCGACTTAATTTTCCAGTGACTATCACTGACGCAAAAAGCGAGTAAACATCTATAGCACACATTGTTGGTTAGCAAACGAGACAAAGGAGATGCATTAAAATACACTGTACCAAATTTCCACACTTCACACAAACACATAAAAGTATTTACAAGAAATACAATGTAACGACAGTGGATGAAGATGTACGGCAAAGAGAACCGTTAAATAAAAATTACTGGAAATTGTCATAATCTCAAAGATAACAAGGTGAGAGGTGACTTAAACAATTGTGAATGATGTTCAGCCATATTCACATATAATCTCTAACTAATGATCCCAAGGATGAAACCAGACAGTCTGTACCTTCCTATACACCTTAGATCAACTCTGAATCGTCCATGTAAAGATTCCATGCTTGATTCGATGTAAAGTTCACACTATTTAGCACTCATCAAAAATCTTGTGGAAATTGCTGCCTTCTCAACAATACACAACAAAACCTTCGTTCACTGCTTTCTACGGATTACATACAACCCTCTTATCTTATACATTGAACATAAAAAAAAGCAACGAGAATATGAAATAAATAATAAGCTTAAGATTCATTTACTTCTTCACACAGTTCATTAAGATCAGGTGGTTGGATTTCTTCTTCAATACGAATACATGCTTCATCCCAAAATTCTGAAGCTCTAGAGCGAATATCTCGACTACGAGGAATATTCGGTGGATTGTATTCAAGAGCATTACGATATATTAATTCCACGTCCTAAGAATACAAAAACAAATTAGTAAATAAAAATCAAAGAAGCAGTTAATGAATAATTACAAGCTAAGGAGTTGATTGATAAAAGGTGAATATAGTTCGACATTGTATGAAAGGTTTGTAAAACTAAATATACTCATCCTTTTTTATTTTGCCAAGAACGCTCTGGTATTGTTAACGACAAATGATGAATATGAATTTCAGCGTGACCATCAACAGTCACCTGGAGATGGGTACATTCATGTGGAGTTTCAAATAAGAAAACATCACTAAGCACCAGGAAATAAATAATATTTCACGTACGTTAACGTTCATCTCTATTCGGTGGTTCTAAATTTATGAATTCCGTATGATTGATATCAAATATTTTATTTAACATATCATTAACATACATTGAATTATTAGAATTTGGAGAGTCTAAAGTCTTTGGACAATCATCACTAAGATCAACATTTAACGAATTATTATGAATGTTATCTGCGTTACTTTCACAAGGATTCAAATCTGAATTAACTAAAGGTGAATGATGAACATTTGATGTCTTTGAAGATTTACGACATTCAGATAAATTAATATTGATTTGAAATTTAATACTGTCTACATCGCGATCATATGAATACTTTATAGCTGGTTCAGTAACACTAACAGTATTCCCAGTACGAAGCGTAGGCAAACTAGACTTAGGTGAATATCTTGAATGAATTGGCGACGGTGAGCTTGGCGATCGATCTGACAGATTTATTCCATTGACTAACTGGCATTTGCCTTCTGAATAGAAGGGGGAAAAATTGAATAGTGAATAACTTTTGAAATTTTGGACATTAACATTAAATTGAGCATAATAATACACAGTGCCAGCCATCTGCTTTTCACAACCATTGGCTTATAGCCTACATACTGTGAAAGCTTATAAAACTAAGTTAATATAGGAGTAGAATTTTGGACACTAACACACTTGAATTACATGATATTTAAGTTTAGATGATGTGACATACACAGTGATACAGCCTCGAGCACGATTTATTGTTTATAATTATTTCAGTGTTAAACTGTGTTATTGTTTAGGTTGAGGCATAAGTAGTGAAGGTTTAAAATTATAAGAAATCGAGTACTTAAACCAGTGAGCATCAACCTCAATATAAAGAGTGTATCATATTATGAATCGACACTTGACACGAAGTGAAATGGTGTCGAACAGAAAACTATCAAGTTTCGTAGCCAGCACAGTATAATTCTGTCATTGCTCTAATATTCCATAACGCATGTTTACCGATTTACATAGATTTATGGTGTTACGTGATAACCACTCAGTACCATCAGTAACAAAATGACCTCATATCCACACTGGTTGGACTCAACAACTCAAATGGTGATAGAGTTTAGGATTTAACATATGGATTGCCATTGCTTCTGTCGTTGGAAAAAGTTTGATAAGTACGATGGTTTGAGAGTTCGTTCGATGTCCAGAATCGATAAGGTGTTCCAGAATACAGCTATGGGGAGATCTTTTTCTATCCTCTATAAAATCGTGGTGTGGTGAGAGCTGTCTATTAGCCAAATTGGTAGACAGTAATTTACGTCAATGTTTACGTTCTCAAGATTTGTCGTGAGAAAATATGAACAAAGATTGATTCAAAACGGACCACAGCAGACTTTGCGTAGGCGGATACAGTTAACATATAGATGATCTGACATTCAAGAAACAGCCACAAAGAGATGAAAGATTAACTTTGAGTGAGAAACAACCAATCAGAAGACTGTGTTGTTTGCTTAACTAAACTATAATAATGTACATGAAAATATATAAATATGTGTTGATTTCCTTAATAAACGATCTGTTGCCTGGCCCTTGTCTTCTGTTGTTACAATGGTAGTAAGTGTTCGATGATATGCTTGGATATCAAACGCTGAGTACGGTCAACATACCTAGTCCCACATGTGCTAGTCAAATGACACATTTACAATGAATTGGCCAACAGTGGTAGCTTATCCTTCACGTTCTTACGAATTACTGGTTTTGCATAGAAAAAGAGTTGAAGTTTAGCTGAAAGGTACGTTATCTTCAATGAACACGACAGGCGGTATTTCAGTAATTCTACACACGAGTGTCCAATGAATTGCAGATTTAGATAGAGAATATTTTGGGAGAGGAGGGGGGACAGAAAGTGTGTGTACCATTTTAGTGATATAGGCTCCATGGATTTTGTGATGAAGTGTTTAGGGTAGCCATTTTCAATGAGAATCCTTATAAGAGTGTTCAGCTTCCCTTCCAAGGTATCAAGGCTTCAAATGTTGCAGATTCTACGGCTCAATGAGCGCCCCACGTTTCATTTTGTATGTAAAGACACCCAACTGTGACAATAGTTCAGCACAACCATGACGAATTAACTGCACTAATTATATAATCGAAATGTATTAGGTGAAATCATTCTCAAAAGACATAGAACCGTAGAGAGCGAATCTATTCCATATGATTACCTGATTAATTTGGATCCTTCATAAAGATTACCTGACAATCAACCCACTTCTCAGTAATTTCCTGACCCGAAGAACTATTATCACATATTTAGGAAGAAAACTGTGTAATTTTGAAGAATTAGTTTGTATGAAGTTGATTTGTTTTTCAAATTTGACCATGGATTATTATCATTTAGGGACCATTCAGCCAATGAAACCCAACTTAATGGTCAGCCCACAAATTCCAACTTCTATAAATTCGCGATTTCGGTGCGAATACCAGCCAGTATTTGTCCTCACTCCCGAGCAGAAGGACCCCACTCGTCAGGACTTCTCACCAGAACACCAGGAAACTTCGTCCTGTGGCTAGTCACTAGTGAGCATTAGGTTAATTTTCAAGAGCTAGTTTGAAAGGATTTGATTTTTTTCACGTTTGCCCACGGACTGATACCAGTTATAGAAGTTAGAATTCATGAGCCATTGAGTCGGGTCCCAGTGGCTGAATGGTCTAAGAACTTGCCTTATAACCGAAAGGTCCTGTGTTCGAACCCTGGCGGTGGGCGCGTACCGCTAATGAGTCCCAAAATAGGGCGAAATGGCTGTCCAGTACTCCCTGGTTCCCTAACTGATATCAATCGTTGGTCAAACTTGAAAAACTGTCTAAAACAAAGGGTAACCATTATTCGTTACTATCAGAACGTAAACATTTCATCGACACTCAGTTACTATACAAGTGCAGAAATTTTAAACGATACCAGCATAAATTTTATAAAATTAAGGAAATAAAACTTTTAAGAAAAATAAGACAAACCAAATTGCACATAAAATACCTTGTAATTTTTCGGTCGGTGTATTGAACAATGTGACACAGTTTTCACGAAGTGTGTTTGTGCTGTTGGGACTAAGATTAGGTTGTCGCACTGATGGAAGACGTTTTTCAATATTTGGAGGAGTAACAATTCTGGGTGGAACAGATTCATAATTTTGATGTTTACATGTGCCAATAATAACAATTCGACGTGGATTTTTTGTAGCAGCATAAGAGAGTTTACGATTATCAACATCACTACGACTAGTATTATCATTATCATATAAAGCACCATCATATTCTGAAGCAATTAGGGCTAATGGAATATAATTCAATTCACAATTGACTTCATCGACTGGAGCATTCAAACGATCTATAAGATAGCGGCCAGTTAATTGTGGGATACTTTTGAAAAGACTGTCAACTGAAGGTAAGTATACAACCACTCCATTCATTTGAGAATTATTACGAAAGGATAATGTTGATGAATTATTCAAAGCGTGTCGAATAGAAGAGATGATTTGAGCAACTGCTGCTTCAGGACACATACCAATACTTGCAGGAAAAGCAAATAAATTGACCAAATTTATTGTAAACACCTTTATTAAAAAAACGATGGCAAAGAACAAAGTCACTAAAATACAGAAAATGCTCAATAATCATAGGCACTTTAACAATGGGACTAGTACTCTCCATTATGGATAAGATTTTATTTTGATAAATCACAGTGTGGTACAGTAATATTAACTGATGACGTTTCGAGCAGACTACCGACTACTAGGTTGCACTGAGTGTTGCAAATTAGAAAAATTAGCGTTCCTCGTTTTCACAGATTTACCATCCTATAGAATGTCAATAATCACGAGACTTGAAGTAAGCATAAGTTGAAAAGAGAGCAAGAGTGGACGGACTACGACAATAAATCAATCTAAAAATCCTCCGACTTATATATTTCCTAAGTACAGATATATAGGCCTCCTGGATAAGGTTTTCGACATAACAAAAACAGATAGTTGAACTATTTATTTTTAAACTACTAGCTTGAATAATGCTTATACCACAATAAGTCATCAACATCAAATAACCTATATCACAAATTACCACCTGTGAAGAATACGAGAAATTGTATTATTTATTTTAGACATTCATCTAATTCTTTAATGCATTTTCTCTACGACTCAATTTACATTTCCTTATGATGCATAGCAGAATAAAGGAAAGTTGACAAGACACTAAATAAGATAATAAGTACAATCAAGGTATACACACACAAAGTTGGGCTTCATTACGAATAGATATTGGTTAGACTGTTGATGAACAACACGGAAACCTGCTTAAGTATTTAGTTCTAGACAAGGTCATCTTCATCAATGCGTAGTCATGACTAAATAAGAGATTCAACCTAGGACCCTTGTGTTTCATTAAAATACAATTGAAAAGTAGCTAGTAAATGCCAGGCTAAGACAGTTGATCATTGTTTCACAGGTTTAAGTAGTTCATCAGCCCATTATAACAAATAAATCTTTACAAATCTGACGACTATGTAGATTTCACAAACTTACCTGTAATGTCTCTAATTTATGCCATACAGCATTCATAATAATATCTGATATATTTCCATTTATGAATAATTTTGATTTGAAAATACATGATGAAATATCATTTGCTGAGTATCATGATGACTTAAAATGATCCGTGGGATTGATTTGTTTTCTAGGGTCAAATAGCGCTCTGCTTAAATAGTTCACAATTATGTCAACATTACGTATTAACAGTTTAGCTAGATTCGGTGATAAAGGTTACGGATAGTAGCAGCCAGAGCATTTGCAGATGGTGTTAAACTTGATGCTGCTGCATCAGCATCTGAACGTTCACTTGATGCACGAACAATTTGTAAAGCTTCAAACCAATCACAGTGTGAAACCTAGAGGAAGCAAACATTACAATTAGGAAGATAATCGCTCAATGACAAATGGGATATTAAAAAAAGATGAGGAAATTAAATTGCTTCTGGGTTTGGAAGCATTTATCTATACTTTAGGTAACGACCAATACACGTCATTAAAATAGAAAGATTTCGATAACAGTTATATAGCACAGAAAACTTTAATCAGTTAGAAATTACAATAAAATCAAATAAGTAAATTGAGTGACGTAATATAATTGACAGGATTGAGCAGACCTTAAATGAAAGGTCAACTGAAGAGTCATGAGGAGTAGAAATGTAATGTTGGGAAGCGAAAAAGTAATAAATTTTACAAAAGTCAAAAAATTACATATCAGGTATGGAGGCATATTAAGTCCAATGTAGGTCCAGAGACTCAAGACACTTCCTTATATACAAAGTTCAGGATTTAACATGTGGATTGCCATAGCTCCTGATGTTTTAAGAAATCTGATTTATTTACGAATCTCAGTATCTTAACTTTTTTTAATTCTATTATTTTTCTATCTTCCCACTACCACATTTCTATACCTTAGGACACTTAACTTGACCGTTTTGCAATTTTCGTTGACATCTCCTCATTCTTGCTAAATATGCTGTGTCATTTAACATAGTCATTTGATTTCATTTTACCTTCTACCTGACTAATGTTCTCTGTTATATGTAACTGTTACCATAAACTTTGGATTTCACTGACGACCAGTATGTGTTGTTAGAGTCATCAGTGTGTAGAGTGTAGTTCCAATTTAGAACCCATTAACTAAAAGTTGAGTCTCTAGACGAATGCATTACAGCTCCGTAATATGTAAGCATTGAGAACACTCAATGTAAAGACTTTATTGACTTGTGTGCATTCCAAAAAGTATAATTTTGCTTTAACACTATTTAAAAATAGTCTGTATTTTGCTACCGCCGTCAATGAAGATTTTTTTTCTTTTATCACTCCGAAAGCTACTTTAGTATCTTGATCCACGCTAAACCATGAACCAAAAATGCTGTGTGAAGGCTTATCACATGATATGAATCTTGCTGTTGAGTGAAAGTGAAGTTCAGTTTTGAAACCTCCATACATTAGTCGTAAGTTGATAAATGATAAATGATAAAAAAATTAACCAGATCTTGGTATTATCTTTTTTTATCAGTATGTTGTACATGTTAAGGTGTTTTCCGGAGGTTACAAACTTCTTTACCTTATTTAATAAACGATCTAAGCGAAGACTTCACTTCCGTAAGAAACAGGAATTGGAAGCAATAGTACACGAAAAGATTTTGCATTTATTTTCACAGTGAATAGATCTTTCCCTTTAGAAAAAATAAGGCTATTATCATTTCAAACCACGTTTATATACAATTTATTCGGCCGTAATATTATATCCGATGACTTTCTGCTAAGAATGCATTGATATTCAATGTAGTGATTTCATAATACATTGAAAACTATCCCTGAACGAAACAGTGTAAACTAGCATACAACAGATTCTTTAAAATTAGGCTATTTAAAATACTCAGCAACAATTTGTAATTCCATACAGTTGGCAATGACCTATACCTATTGTGTTGGTTGGTTCGTTACGAGAGTTTCTTGTTGCTAATTCGTTCTGGCTATTTGATCTTTAGTATGGAGCGAAGGCAATAGTTGACAAAAGTTTGAGGCCTGTTCGAAATGCTGTCGGTAACATGCCAAGTCTCTGGAAGACAAAGAGCTGATTTGACATATGCTGAAGATCCGGATCTTTGTCTTTATGCTGAGTATAGTAGATTTTTATACTGATTTCAGATTAATGAAGATCTGTCTTACTTCTCCGACACTGGTTAGCTTTGACATTCTCATCCGTGCCAACTATAGTTGAAGCGATGCTGCCTAGATAAGTGAAAGAGGTGACTTCTTATAGACTTCTGATGACGGCGACGATTGGTGCTTTTTGTTGTTAGTTAAGTATCTTCATAGTTTCCCTCTTCTCTATGTTCACTTGAAGCCCAGTCTTTACTGCCAGATTCTTCCACCAACTTGTTGGTTTTTGCCAGTAAATCTTACAGCTTGTGATACAAGACATAAATCATCCACCAAGTTCGGGTCTCTTAGAGTCTTCTTGCTGGCCCAACGTACTCCTGTTTTCCCATTCCCCACGGTTTGCCGCATAATCTAGTCCACCACAAGCAGGAATATTATCGATGATAGTAAGCAACCTTGTCTTACTTCTGTCTTCACTACAAAGGCTGTAATGATCTCTCCGTAGTGAATCACTTTGCATGTGATATCATCATACAGCTGTTGCATGGGCTTTATGAATGTTTGAGGCACTCAGTAGTGTTGTGGCAGTTATAAATTGATTCACGATCGATGCCTCTTGAAGTTGAGGGAAATAAGTAATTGAATGTAATTCTGTCCTCTGTTCGATGACAATGAGTCGCGCTGCAGCACATCACTCACTTTTCTTGAATCCAGCTTGTCACGGGAGGAGTTTTGCATCCAGAACGTTCTTTAGTCTCTCCATGATGATGCGGCTTAGTGATTTTCTTGAAGTTGACAACAGTATGATTCTGCCCCAGTTGTTGTAAAGGCTTATTTATTTATTTATTTTTTTGATTTACAGCTTGATTCCACACCGTATTTTCAGTACACGTATGGAATTTTCAGCATGGATATCGGTTGCCCAAATTCAGGCATACCATAGATATCGGGTGTGCGCCGGCAGGGGTTCGAACCCCGGACCATGTGCATGGTCGGCGAGAGTCCAAACCACTGTGCCACCGACGTAGTTTGACACGATAGTCTTTCTTCCGACCGGTAGGTACCTTTCCCTCCTTCCAAACCTTCTGCGATAGTGGCGTGAGCATATCCATCGAGGTCTGTGGATTCGTTCTCAGTGTTTCTGGGGAAATTATGTCTGGTCCTGATGATTTCTAATCAATCAGTACAATCGATATATTTTTGTTTCACTGGTCGACGCTTACAACTCATAAAAACAATGTCACAAAATGCATATTGTACGATGCAATCCTCGACCTTCAGCATAGTTACAAAGTTTCAAGTTGAACAGTAAAGAAATGATGACTATACACTTAGAATATACTATGGGTGTGGTTTTCTGACATTTTTATCACACTTTATTTAAAAACGTGGCTCGCCACGAAAGGCATTTGCAGCAGGTCGCAGACTTTTATCGACAGCTGTCTTCGCTGGCTCCGCATTGAAGATCAAATGGCCAAGAAGACTTAGCAACAAGAAAACCATGCGACGAACTAATCAAGAACCTATTGCTCAACAAATATCCCGAAGAAAATGAAGATGGATCAGACACGCGCTGAGGTGGCCGTTGAATGACATCGTGTGGCAGCCTCTCGAGTGGAACCCGAATAAGAGACGACGAGTATGGCATCCAAGGGTGACATGGAGGAGATCATAAGAGAAGGGGATGATAGACTATGGGTAATCGTGGGGCCAACTTAAGAGTGCAGCAGACAATAGGACAAAGTGGAGATGTGCTATTGAAGCCCTATGTTCCAGTCGAAACTAAAGGGAATAATAATAAGACATTATAATTACAATTTCGCCCCTGTTGTAACAGATATGTATTATGTAACAAGTAAATACAAGAAATGAACTAACATCAAGAAATCAAATTACGAGACAAAAATGATATGAAATAAAACTGTGATATTATTTTATTACATATAGCAAAACATTTACCACTAAATATTTATATTCCAAAGCTAGTTTAACATGACTTTTATAAACTTGTGGATAACATCGACGTAAACAGCATAGACATGCTTCTGTCGCCAACGCTTTTAAATCAGCACCAGAAAAATTAGTAGTTGTTGCAGCAATCTGATCTAGTAACTATTGAGAGAAAGAGAAGAAAGAAGATAAAACGGAAATACATAATTCATATGAGAGTGAATAAAACAAAACTTTAAGAAAACAGTAACAACATTACACTTCATAACATTTCCTCGACTAGTTTATACGCCGAATTCGGCGTAATTTAATATTTCTTGAAAACATTATCAGTTCCTAATGTACTAGTTGTTGACGAAATCTCAGCATCTTCCAGCTCATGCAGTCCCTATCATCAGTTAGATATATTCCATTTCACCTGACTTTACTGTTATGAGACATAGTTGCTAAAAGCAGAACATATAGTAAAAACGAAATCTGCCTTTCAAGTTGAGCATCTTCGCAATATAGGGAGGGGCAAGTCGCCTGGATACATTCTTAGTATTATTAAAAATCAGTGGCTGAATATCTTTCAGTGATATTGCATAAAAATATTCATGATATTGAAAATGCATTCACTCTTTATCATCAGTGAAGTTCTGAACATTCCTGTAGTCTCCAATTAGTTTCCACTTCTTCTTCCATACATGCTTATGTTTTGCATTATTCCTTCATACTTTTCCTTTCTTTTCGGAATCCTTTTCTAAATGAAACTGATTAGACCAATGAGACTTTCAGAGCTCTTCTAGCTCATTCTGTTCTTTTGTCCAGGATAGATTATGAGGGATTCTAACATTCCATTTTGAAACTGTATCTCAGGTCCTAGTAGGTTAATCTGATTTACGTGATTGTAATTAGTAAATTTTGATTAACGTCAACATGTGGCGTGCACATATATAGATGCACATTGATAGGGAGCAGCCAAAAATAGAAATCAAAATTTTACGCCAATGGCTGCAGAGGTAGAAGTGTTTATTCCTCGAATTCGGTTTAGTTTACGTTGTGCTGATGGAATAATCTTATTGGGCAATCTTTCGTCCCATAGTTTAACCTTGAACCAATCGTCAGCTAATCAGAAGAGCTTGTTCTCCACTGACGTAGTCGATTTTTAATGTGGTTAAAATTGCATAGATATATGTTTTTCCCTGATAAAAAGTTCGTTACCAATTTCTTAATCTTCCGCCTTTACAAGTATACATAACCATCACAATAAAAGAGAAACATTAGTTGTAAGAAACTGCAAGATATTTTGGTGTAGTTGTGCTCAGTCAGTTGAACGGTTTGATTACGAAGCTTTCATTGTCTTAGTATTCGGCATCATCAGCGCATACTTCAATTTGAAGAATATGAAAAACGCTTTAAAAATAAGTAATTTGCAAGGAATGATGCAACTTTCTCATGACTTCAAATTGAATTAAGCACCGGGGATGTTGTCTGATAAGACAATGAAAGCTTTGCAACTAAACTATCCAGCGGACAGAACACAACCACACCACAATCATCCACCCGAGCCACAAACCTTCTCCATTACTGCACGGCATATTCGAGATGTGAATATGCCTTGTGTATTGTTATAATTACCCTTTTTTATTTTCACCTGAAGCAGAAACTTACTGTTGCCAAAAGCATCATTTGATGAGTTTTGTTTAGAGTAGCTAAATTCATGCTTCCACAAAATAGTGCTTCAAGAAATCACATTATCTCTTACTGATGCTTTTGAAACGCAATCCGTTGATACTTTGGTTAATGTAATTCAAAACACTTAAAAATATTTCTTTAATTATTAGTGCCATATAACTGTAGAACCTGATAAGCAAGTGATGGAATATATATTCATTGATCAGTCTTTTAAATAAAAGTCAGCATAGCTTTTCCAATTGGTTCATGCTGTAATCTTGCTGCAAAATGCGATCAGTTCACAGGATGGAAGTTTTCTTACAAATCATCAGACTAAAAACCAGTTTAGCTTATATGTATCTCATGGCTTTTTCGTCAGCATTATTTTTTGTATTATTATACCTAACCTAACCGAATTTCCTGTTAGGTAAAAAGTGGACTTAATTTTAAAGAGTATATGATAAAGCAGCCACAAACCTAAATGCCGACTCATCTTTCATAGAATCTGTATAATTATTAAATAGAATTTTTAATCCATATACCATGCTCAAATGAATAGCTGTGCATTTATTTAAAAATGGATTAACAGAATGTTGTTTATTTACGTTTACTACTAATAAGTAGTTAAAAGTTTCATTGCACATGAACAGATTTCAGTAAGGCTTTTTGCCAAGGGATGATGACAAAGTACTAATGGAGTGTTTTGATGTAGTTGTGTTCTCTGAGCTGTATGGTTCATTTGCGAAGCTTTCATTGCCCTATTAGGCAACATCTTCAGCACATACTTCAATTTAGTTCAATTTCATACTTCAATTCAATTAGTCATCTCTCTCCAGACAGGAGAGACGACTAATAAACTCGTGGAGAAATCTAAAATCTCACTTCAAATTGAAGTATGTGCTGAAGATGTTGTCTAGTAGGGCAATCAAAGCTTCGAAAATAAACCATCCAGCTCAGAGGACACAACTACATCAAAATCATCGACCTGAGCTACAAATCTTCTCCATCGTAACTAATAGAGTGTTAATTATTATTCAATAAAATACCGAAAAAAACTGGATTGTGAATAATAGAGTAAATAACTAATTGTCAACCACTTCTGATCTTTAAAAAGAAAAGATGAGGGGTTGAATAGGTGTAATGTTATTAATTAAACAAAGGCTTTATATCCTAAAATGTGTCTTCTAAGTGATAAGAAGAAGGGTGGGGAAGACAAGAAAAAACTTAGTATATTTGGAAAAAATAATTGTATCCATGATGTTTAGTGAAAACATATTCCAAATTTCGCCTTACAAATAATGAGAAAGTGTGTCTTCAGAACAAGCATAACAAGCGAAAAGAACAGTTAATGCATTAATGACAGATGAAATTACGTTACAGTGGTGCCCAAGATTTTTCAACCATGAAAACTATAGATGATGCAGACATAATCAGTTAGTCATTATTCAGTGAGTTTTCTTTTCCTTTGATCAACGACATTTATCTCTGTAAAACACCATCCTTATCAACTTAGGCAGAGCAAAAAACAGCTTCTTCAAATGACGTATGGGAAGCGTCAGTCTGTAAATAAGTAGTTCTCTAGATTTATCATTACATAATCAGGCTTGATAATATATATATATATACATATATATATATATGAGAAAAGACAGGGGTACGTTGGGTCGAAGACGAGACAGTGGAAGACCTAAACTTCGTCGATTATTTAATTTTAAAGTTACAGAGACGCCCAAGATTTACAAGCAAAGTTTAACAAGTTGGAAGAAGATGCAGCAAAGACAAAACTTCAAATAAACATACAAAATAAAATTGATGGAGAGACTTTGCTTTCGCGTCACAAAAAGCATTTCCAACAATAACTCTGGCAACGAACCAACCAACTACCTTTGGCACAACAAATATGCCAAAGAGAATCAAGATGGATCAGTGACACGCTGAGGAAATCTTTGAGTAACATAAACACGTGCCACACCCTCGAGTGGAACCTAAGTGGGAAACGAGTTATGAGTTTGGGGGTACTATGAAGAAAATCATGTGAAGAGGAAATGAGAACTTGTCAGCAATCGTTGAGCCATCAAATGAGGACTGTAGAGACTAGGATGAGTTGGAGATGTACTACTGAAGCCCAATGTCCCACTTGGGACTTTAGGGAAAAATAGGAATAAAGTAGAAGTAATCGGAATTCATCCGAAGTATCCAAACTTGTGTATCCAGAAGAAATTCATACACTCAACTCCTTTACTTTGGGTATTTTTACGTGAAAATAAAAATAACAGTCCAACCTCCCTAGGCCAATTACAAGTTAATAATGTTTCAAATATCTTGTTATTTGGCCTGTTTCATCTTCCGCTATTCCTACGTAACTATTTAGATCACTTACTCATTTTTCTTATTTTTCCCGAAATAACACCCTATGCAGTCAATTGTTGGATACAATTTATTGTTTAATTGCCACCACCTTGGCATGATGATGTTGACCAATTACTTTTACAACTTGAACACTACTAGACTGGTGAATTCCGCATCAACGAGGATCTAAGTGAAAAGTAAATACTTCGCTTAATTTATTACCTTCCAAATGGTTTCCGAAAGGCTGTATGTCATTCTCAGTAACTTTCATGATTGATAACATAGTTTTAATAGCCTAAGAATCGTGAGTGAAATTAAAACACGATATCTTGCAGTTTAGAAACAGTTTATCTATTGGGTGATAACTTGCTAATTATCCCTGTCAACAACTAAGCATGCTTTAGTAAGTCAGCGTATCTGCGATGCAATAAGAAGCAACACAATAAAGGCCGTCATTCCACAACAGAATAACTTGTTTACATGGCAAATAGTGTTATCTATTTAATCTTAACGTCCAGTATAAGAAAGCGACCTCCAAACCTTACAGATGATTCTTAATAAGTAAGCAGAGTGGCACTTTAGCATAAAAAAAATCAGTCAGTAATAAACTGTGCGTCAAACGGCCCTACTACTCCAATGTGATAAAATATCTTGAAATGACTGTGAAGTCAAATACAATCATCAGTCCATTAGATCACGATCCCTAGTGTTGTTGCGACATAGGAATTAAGCTAAGTGTGAAGTAACTGACCCCATAAAGATGACCAAATTAGAAGAATACTCAATGATGCATGCACTAAAACTCAATCACGCAATGGGATTTGACAGAGGTAAAGTTCTGATAAGTAATACAGATAGGTGGATATGGAAGCTGATCATTGATTCATTGTTTTTCGAATCTACATTAAGCATATACAAATTAAAACAGGAAATTTGCATTTAAACTCATCTCAATATGAAACAACACTAGGACACACATTTGCTATCTGGTAGTGAATTGTTTGTTCAGTTTACTAAACTTGTTCCTTACAGTAAATTCACTTGAGGACAGACAAAATAATAATTTTACCGGACTCAAACACTGAATATGGACTATAAAATATGGCCTTCTTTTAATGCATTAAAAATGTAAAGTGAGTACAGTCACCAGTCAGTAA